GTCTTAACAACGTACGGGGGGGGGGGGGGGAATCGGACTTTAATTTCACTTTAAGCAGGGAGATCTCTGTGACACATCATAGACTGCACACCACTGCCCACACTTTATGAATGGGCTGTTAAATGCATAGGCATGACCAGTGGAGAGAAAGTTTGCAGCCAGAGAATTTATATATCCTATTAAGTCGCTTCTGTGATACTCAGATCAAGCAAAACCTCTATTTAAAAGCCACCCCCTCATTTGAAATGACTAATTAAAAAACCTAAAAAAAAATGTTCTGGTGCAGTAGTACCTGAACAGACCGCACTAGCCAGAGAATTCCAATACTTCAGACTTTATTGAAATTCACAGCAAATCCAGTATAACAGTGAATAAAAGTGTATAAAGCAGCAAAAACCAGCACTGCACACCCCCAACCTCTCACATGTTTCACCCATCGGCTTATTCATAGAATGATTAGGTGCAGTCTCACACCCGTAACAGCATGCAGTGCAGCAAGGTGCGTTGGTGTGCTATTAACAATGAATGGCACCACAGCGTGGTGGCACCTTTGGCACCTTTCGGCAACAGGCGCCTTTACACGTGTTGTTACAATGCACAGATATGAACAGGGGCTCCTCCTTTTGAGGATTTCTTCAGAATGTTCCTTCCCTCCATAGACACAAGCAGCCAGTCCCTTCTGATGGGAACATGCGTGTCATGATCTTTCATTAGGAAAATTGTTCAGTCGCCGGGTCATGAATTTCTTTAGTTGGCTTTTGCCAGAAACTTCTGTCTTCTTTTAGCAAACCACTGCATGACAAAGCATGCTCTCTTCTGTGACAAGTTCCCTTTTTTAAGAAAAATGAGTACAGTTACTACTGTAAAATTTAAAGTGCACCTGTCTTTAGAACAATACGGAGGCTGCCATTGGTGCCTGGATGTTTCTAGCCTCATGTTCAGCCTCAAACATTTTCAGATGGAAAGTCAGTAACGGCAGCCGGGATATTCCACTCATGACAGGTTTCCTTTATTAATAATTCTTAGTGTATTGTAGACTTTAAAATACAGTGACGTCATCTGTGACATTTCACAGGCTGTAAAGAGAATCGGTGAAAGGAAAGCCTTTGAGATGCCGTGATGCTCCAGGATAATATTCAAGCTCAAGTGCTGTCTCCATGTAGGCTTGGATTAACGCTGGAACCTTGTAGCTGATCCTCGCCGCTGTCACTTTTCAATAGTCTTTTATTATTATACTCCGTCATTGTTAGTATTGTCGCTTGTTCCCAGATGACAGTTCCTTTTGTATTGTTTGTTTCCAGATGCCAATATGACTCAACCGTGGTTTACTCAGGATGATCATCACCCAATCTGACAGGATGGGGTGAGCATTCTGACATCTCTGGGCACCAGACACCCCCACCCCCAGCTGATAATTTGTCCATGTTCCACTTCATTAATTTTTTCCCCAGAAGATTGCAGTTATTCCCAACAAGATATGGCCAGTGGCGTCTTATGCTTTCGTGTTTTTGCTTTCTTAATATTAAAAAAACATGCTCAGGGCATAAGCTGAAAGTTATCTGAAAGAAAGTGATTGTTCTGTGGAACCGTCCTTTGTAAGGCACGTACAC